TTTGCCATCAGAGACAGTTTTAGTCACATCTTGGGTTCACTTGATCAGCTGCTGTGCTCCTAGTTTCAGGATCTTCAAACTAGGCCTGCCCATGTGGATGCTAGGAAGCCAGAGGCATCCTGACCAGAAGCCCAGACTGGGAAAAGGGCTCCTGCCAGTGTGCTCATGGTTCCAGAGGGCAGGACTGAGCGGGGTGGGAGGAGCCCTGCCTGGGCAGCCGAGACATGGACACCACTCTTGAGCCATCTCTTGGAACTTTCCACCTCTCCAGTTTGGGTCCCAGGTGGGGCACATGTGGGAAAGACAATGTCCATGCCCCCCACTAGTTTCCCATCATAGCTGGTCCTTGCACCAAGCACCCCCTTCCATTAAAAGTGGACAGACCAAGTGTCACTTTCTTAATGGAGGGGCCTTCTTGGTCCATCTCATGCTCCCAACAGACCTCCCTCCACGGGATGGGAAGGTGCCATTCTAGGGCAGCCCTTTTGACCCAGCCTCCAGCCAAAGCCAGTCCCCCTGCCAAGCAGGCCCCACAGTTACACTGGAGGGTGACAGGCCTCTCCTGGAAATTTCTTGCTGAAAATTATCAGTTTCCTGTACAAGTATGGCCTGGCATTTTAATTCAAATTAAACCCAGGAGACTGCTGCTTCAGTTTTGACTGCTTGGAAATTGGGCTATGTAGAGCTTTCGTATCCTGGAAATTGTGCAGTCAGTCACTGAGCAGATTGATCCAGTAGATACAGCAAGTACACACAGCGCCAACCAAGGACAAGTGTGCACATGTGTGCACACGCACGCACAGGCACAGCAAAAAAATCTAGAAATAATCTATTTTATTTTTAGCTGTTATGGAAGTTTTGTGTCACTTCCCCCCAAGACACAAATTATATTGTATGATTTAGTCGTGTTTTTATTTAGAATTATTTAAGAAAAGAGGGAGTTGAACGTGGTTTCTCATACCTATAATCGCAGCATTTTGGGAGGCTAAGGCAGGAGGATTGCTTGAGCCCAGGAGTTTAAGACCACCCTGGGCAACATGGCAAAACCCCATCTCTACAAAAAATACAAAAACTAGCCGGTTGAAGTGGTGTATGCCTGTGGTCCCAACTACCCAGGAGACTGAGGTGGGAGGTTCACCTGAGCCTGGGACATCAAGGCCACCATGAGCTTTGACTGTGCCACTGCACTCCAGCCTGGATGACAGAGTGAAACCCTGTCTGAAAACAAACAGGGGCTCTGCACAATCATTCTTGCAGTGTCATGGGTCTCCTAAGATATTAATTTTGGCTCTAAACCCAGATTAAGATAAGTCTAGAGTGAGATAGGGTGGGTCTCAGGAGAGGGGCCGATTAAGACAGTGGTTTTTAACCTGGATGCACCTGGAGAGCTTGGCATCACCTGCAGGCTTGAAAACATTCTGATACCCAAGCCCCACCCTAGGGATTCTGAGCTAATTGGTTGGGGGACAGCCTGGGCACCAGGAGTTTTCAGAGCTCACCTGATGATGGCAACATGTAGCCAGGGCTGAGAATTACGCCCTTTGCTGTGCCATGTTGCATCTGCCTTGATTTCCCCGTATTCTCCCAGGCTCTGGAAGAACTACAGGAATTGAGAATTAGTCCTCCCGCTAGCTCCATTCCTCCCAGGCTGGGGAATTTCCGAGTCCTCCTTTTGGCTATAGCCTCGATATAAACTCATCAGGGGCAGGAGTGGGGAACAAAAATGTGTCCAGATCTGTTGAAACACAAGGAAGATGGGGCAGCTTCATGTAGGGCACTTGCCAAAAATGGGCTGATTTACCTCAAGAGGCAGGGATTCTAGCCTACATGGGATACATACAGGAGAAAAAAATAAGAAAAAGAGATTTAAATATAAATAAATGAAAATAACTTCTTTCTGATTACAAAGGAAATCACATCTCTTTGTAATAATTTGGATGACAAATATTAGGAAAAAGCTTTAATTCTGCACTCAAAACATTCTGGTTTGTTGCTTTTTATACTTTTTTATGCATATAAACATTTTAAAAGTTGAATCATAATATACAGTCTTTTGTCATTTACTATATTTTGTGCATATTTCTGTGGCAGTAAATACATCCCGGCATCATCATTTTTAATAGCTGGATGTATATTAAGTTAATCATTGCCACCCCACCCCAGAGGTGAATTTTCTTATATGTACTTTTTTTTTTTTTTTTTTTTTTGAGACGAAGTTTCGCTCTTGTTACCCAGGCTGGAGTGCAATGGCGCCATCTTGGCTCACCACAATCTGGTTTCAGGCAATTGCCTCCTGGGTTCAGGCAATTCTCCTGCCTCAGCCTCCTGAGTAGCTGGCATTACAGGCACGCGCCACCATGCCCAGCTAATTTTTTGCATTTTTAGTAGAGACGGGGTTTCACCATGTTGACCAGAATGGTCTCAATCTGTTGACCTTGTGATCCACCTGCCTCGGCCTCCCAAAGTGCTGGGATTACAGGCTTGAGCCACCGCGCCCAGCCCCTTATATATACATTTTAATGGACTCGAGCAAGCATTTTTGGACTGAATTCACAGAATTAGAATTTCTGGAGGAAAATAATATAAAAATAGCTTTAGGATTTTTAGTAGAAATGTTCAAATTATCCTGCAGGAAAAGTTGCTGAGTTCATCCTCCCATCAACAGGGACAGAACTCCAGGTTCCCCTTCCATTTGTCATCTTTGCTGGTTTTTATACAGAAAATCTCATTGCTTTTATGGCATTTCTAGTGCTTTTCGATCTTTTTTATATGCCCGTTAGCCATTTTTATTCTTGTGGGACGTGTCTGTTTTTCCATTGCCAATTTTCTGTTGAAAATCATTTGTTTTATTCTAAGTTTAAAGATTTCTTTATAGGCGAAGGATACAAACATTTTTTATCTGTCATTGAGGTTGCAAAAACTTTCTCCCAGTAAGTAATTTATCATTTCACTTTCTCTTTCTTTCTTTCTCTCTCTCTCTCTCTCTCTCTCTCTCTCTCTCTCTCTCTCTCTCTCTCTCTCTCTCTCCCTCCTTCTTTGTCTTTGCAGGTATACAAAATGTGCCTACCAGGAGTCTGCTTTATATCCATTGAAAGCAAGAAGTAATACAGTAAAACTGTGCCTGGCTAGAGGCTTTGAAAGAATGGAGTATTCTGGTTTAATTTTATTAACTTGGAAGTATGAAGGTGAAAAAATTCAAAACTTAAATTTCCTGCTTAAGTTGAATGCAATTTGAAAATATTGACAATAATTTCACTTTTCTTCTCTAGTAAGTTTGAACATTCTGATCTATTTAGTGTTCTATTACAGAACTCCTTGTGTGTCCAATATTTACATTGTGAGGATACTTTTTTAAAACTTTAGATGTAAGAGGACGTAAATGGTTTTGTATGAAATCAGGCTGGATGAGAACTGATATTTATAAATATACTTTTTAGACTAAATCTTTCCTGCCCCTTGTTTTCTTATTGAACTCATAAAAAGAAAACACATTGGATGGAGGGTGGGAGTAGGAAAGAGATTTCTGTGTTTTCATTGCATGTCATTGTTTCATATCAAGGCAGAACATAGAGTATCCCTGCCTTTGGACCTACAGAAGGAAACACATTTTTCTACCTGCTGTATGCCAGAAGTTCTTGAACACCTGGAGGGATGACTGCAGCATAGATTGCCAAGCCCTACTCCAGAGTTTCTGATTCATCAGGCCCAGAGTGCAGCCTGAGAACTTGCATTTCTAAAAAGTTCTCAGGTGCTACGGGTGCTGCTAGTTCAGAGACTGTGTTATTGAGAACCACTCTTGTCTACTAACTGTTAATTATAGAACTCTAGAAAAAAGCTTAGTTTGGTCTGGGATAAGAAGCACACTGATGATGGAGCAAATCATGAAAGATTCAACCCTTGATCACAGCCTAGTGTGGAATTCAGGTAACAAGCTCTACACAGTGACATAGCTGCACACAGAATCCTTGGTTTTTATGATTGCAAGTCATAGCCAAGTATCAAGTGAGAAATTAGTTTTATTTGCAAGGCTTAGGCCAGTTGATTCTAGAGAAATGGGCCTTGTATTTGTTTTAAGCCAGTAAAGAGCTTTGAGTGTTTATTAAATTGAAATCACTGTGTTTTTATGTATTTGTATTTTATTTTATTTCTTTTGAGATGGAGTCTCACTCTGCTGCCCAGGCTGGAGTGCTGTGGCATGATCTTGGCTCACTACAACCTCCGTCTCCTGGGTTCAGGTGATTCTCCTGCCTTAGCCTCCCAAGTAGCTACGATTGCAGGTACCCACCAATACGCCTAGCTATTTTTTGTGTTTTTAATAGAGATGGTGTTTTACCATGTTGGCCAGGCTGGTGTGGAGCTCCTGACCTCAGGTGATCCACCCATCGCGGCCTCTCAAAGTGCTGGGATTACAGATGTGAGCCACTGCACCCTCCAAAAAGCTTTGTGTTTTTAAAGATGTTAGACATGTTTCTTGTTGAAAAAAAAAATCTTAACAATAATGCAGGAGAAACGTTTTTCCAAAAAAGGTAAATCACTGTGATTATTTTATCTTGCTGGAATGTTGGATGACACAGTCTACTTTATTAATCATCAGGCATGCTATGGATTTTCCATTTTTATAGGGTTTGTATCTCAGTTAAGGTAATATTGGTCATTCTTGTACTCGATTTGAAGATGAAAAAGAGGCCAAAATCAGACTTTGTATTGAAACTGGATAATGAAGACAGCTTTTAAGACACACACAGATACACAGATATATAAAGTATACAGACATATGTTTTAAAGTTTATTTTTTAAAGCTTTTAAAGGAAAAGCTGACCCCTCCCCCCTCCTGGAGTGGGCGGCCCCTCCCCTCCCTGAGTGGGCAGAAACAGCAGTTGCCTGGGCAGCTTTCCTTCTGACACAACAGATCCTGTGGTCCCTTTCATCTTTCTGATTGACCAATGGGCTTGGAGCATTAAGGCCACGCCCCCCATTCTATGTACTAGAGGAGCCCGGGTTATGCCTCCCCTAGCTCAGTCACACAGCTGCCTGGTAGGTGATTGGAGCTATTTACCAGTGCTTGTCTGATTTTGCTGATGTGACCCTAACCCCACCTCCCTCCCCACCCCGCAATGTCAACGTCCACAGAGTCTCAAGAGAGCAAATTGGCAGCAGCCAAAAAAAAGGTAAAACGTACCAGGTCATGGCCCCCCAACCCAGCCACAGATCCCCTCCAATGGCAAGACTGCTGCCAGAGTCCATGCCACTCCTGAGGCACACTGGACTGGGCCCCCCAACCTTGGAGCCTCTGAGCTCCCCCCCACCAAAGTCTTGTCAGTCAACCCCATCCTTTCAGCAAGGAGCAGCATCCCTGCCATTGCCAATCACCCCAGAGTGACTTTAGGTGGGTGACTCCTGGGACTCCCTACTCCATATGTGGCCCTCACCTCCTGCCTCCCCAGGATCAACCTCTCTGGGCTCTTTGGGCTTGTGTCTCTAAGGACCTGGGTCCCCCAGCCCTAGGCCCCACCCTCACCAGTCATCCCTGGGTCACTTTGGGCTGGTGACTCCTGGGGCTCCCTGCTACAGACTCTGTGCTCCCCTCCTGCTGCTCCAACCTCCACCTCCCAGGGCTGTTTCAGCTAGAGTCTCCAAAGACCTGGGTCCCAACCCTGTGTTTCCCGCCCCCAGGAGTAGAATGTAGTGATGGAGCAGCAACTTGGGCGTGGCACTAATGTGGTCCCCTCCCCCAGGAGAATGTAGTGATGTCACCATCCCTCTGTTAACTGTCATTACTGGGGCAAGACCTGACTTTGATCTAATGACCCAGTCCCCTAAGCGTTCCCATCCCATTTCTGGTTCATCTGGTCACAGAACACATGTCCAGCTGGCAGGGGAATGGAGACTATGGGACCTAGGAGCAAGAGCTTTCAGGCTGCCTCACTCCCTTAACATAGACATTGACAGTGTGAGAAGCCTACCTTCCCCTGTGAGCTCAAAATGTTAACAGTATCTCTGAGTGGCAATGGAAGAATGGGTTTGGCTTGGTTTTCTTCCAGGCTTCTACTCTCCAGAGAGACTATAACATTTTTTTCTGAGTTCGCCACCTCATATTCGAATTCTCCATAGTTCTGGGACCAACTACCCTTCAGTCAGGGGTCTCTGGAATGAGATCTCCTCATCTTCTATTGAATAGATCTTGGGAAACTGAACTTGACAGCTTGAATCTTCCTCATATCATCTCAACCTGGGGTACTTTTGAGTGCCAAAGGAAAATTATGGGACATCTTTCTGAAGTATCAGTTTCCCTTGAGTCTCTTGAGAGAGGAAAAAACAATAATGTACTGAGGGATGAGTCACATGGGTTTCTAAGTATATACCCGACTTCTCTCTGAAATGGGGCTTGGGTTGTCATCTTGCTGATAAATACCCAGATTTAACAGAAATGCTGCCTTCTGCCATGACGACACATCGATATAAAGTGTGAGCAGTACTGGTGCACTTTTAACACCAGCAGATGTGTGGCTTTGTGGAGGTGGGGCAGAGAGGGAGATGGTAGCCTGTCCAGCCACTAGCCCCTCTCTTCAGGACCCTTTCCCCCTCTGCGTTGGGCAGGTTCGCACATTGAAGCTTGGGAAGAGGCAGGATGCACATCACATGCAGAAGCTGGAAAGGAGCCTTGCCCACCTCAGGAATGAGCTGGGTAAGATGTGGCTGGGGTAACCTGGGAGCAGGACTGGCACCAGAGGGCTGTGGGGGTAGTTTAGAATGCCCTAGGGAGGTGGGTGGATGGATAGGCTTTGAGACAGAGGAAAAAAGGTCTGTGCCAGAAGATGACAAGTCTTGTAATCTCCATGAGCCTCAGTGTCCCTATCAGCAAAGAGGGAGGAGTGCCTGTTGTCAGCCACCCACAGTTCTCTCTATCTGAAAGTGGCTTGGAGGTCTGGCTACCACCGGGTGCAAAGAATCATCAGCGGTGAGACCAAGTTTAGGGAGCGTGAAAGGAGCTGTGCACCAAAAGGAGCGGTTTTTTTGTTTGTTTGTTTGTTTGTTTAGAATCCAGAGGCCCTTATATTTTGCTTCCTTTTTCAGCTGAAGCCCCATGTCCTAAGCCCCCAGCAGGGCCCCCGGTGGCAGAACAATAGCTAAAATTTGAGACCAACCTCCTGAGGAAAAATCTGGAGAGTTTGACAGAGCAGCTGCAAGCTCAGGTGAAAATGAGAACTTGAATCGCCTGAGCTCTGAGCAGAAAAAAAGGCTGTGGCAGCAGGAGGAGTCATTGCAGGAGGAGAAAGAGAGAATGTGGCTGCAGAAGGAGGAGCTGGTAGGCTGACCCACCTGTGGAGCCTGTTCTTCCAAGCCCTCCATGTGTTTGTTTCCCCACCTGTAAAATGGGGGAATGTAGCCCTCATGTGAAATGGTACTTCTAAAGGCACCTGTGAACCAGAGTCCTGCTCTGATGGCTGTGGGAGAAAGGGGATGATTTTTCTAACCTGACTCTACCCTTCCCGGTGCCTTGGGAGGCAGATACCAAGTTCTGGGGTCTCTAACTGCAGTGGGTGTCCACTGATTGCTTCTCTCTGTCCAGAACAATGAGAAAAACAAGGCACTGCAGTTGTTGCAGCAAATAAAGGAGCTGCAGGAGAAGCTGCACAACCAGAAGGTGACAGTAACCTCTGCCCCATCCAAGAAGCGCTGGGAGGTAGGCAGCAGCCTCTAAGTAGGGGAGGGGCAAAGCCAAAGGCAGCTCCAGCCTGAGGGCAGGTGACCCCAGCACCCATCAGGACAGTCCTGTCACCGTTTCTTGTTTTCTGTCCTCTGACTTTTAGAGATGGGTAGCCCTGGGCTCCTCCCAGGTCTACACATTATCATCCTAGCTAGAGGCATGGAGCCCCCCAATCACAGGAAAAGAGGCAGTGGTATAAGAGGCTCCTTATGCTAGGCATGGTGGCGCATGCCTATAATCCCAGCTACTCAGTAGGCTGAGGCACAAAACTGCTTGAGCCCAGGAGGTGAAGGTTGCAGTGAGCTGAGATTGCATTGCACCACTGCCCTCCAGAGTGTCCAGAGTGATACTCTGTCTCAAAACAAAACACAAAAAAGCCTTCTTAGATTCAAACTTGATTCTGGCATCGGTTCTGCTGGTCACCACTGAACTTGTTTGCATCTCTAAGTCCCTGTTTCTTTCATTTCACAAAAGGACTCAAATCTGGGAGCCAGCCACCACATACCCTCACACCCAGGGTCTTCCTGCAGGTAGAGCTGAAAAGCCAAGAGGCTCGGAGTCTGCAGCAGCAGTGAGACCAGTACCTGGGTCACCTGCAGAAGTATGTGGCCGCCTATCAGCAGCTGACCTCTGAGAAGAAGGCACTGCACAGGCATTTCCTGCTACGGACCCAGCTCATGAACCAGCTGCAGCAGCAGGAAGCTAGGGGCAAAGCAGTAGCCGAGATGGCCCACCAAAAGTTGCAGGAGACCCAGGGGAGGGAGTTGCTGAGGATGGGTCCCATGGGGGATGACCTGGCAACCTCTGTGCCTTCTTGCTTCTTTTCCTGGCCCCTTAGGAGCACTTGAAAGCTGCCACCCAGGAGAACCAGCAGCCACAGGACCAGCTGGGCCTCATGACTCTTCCTGGGGAAGGTATGGGAGACCACTCAGAGGAAGAGGAGAGAGCCCCAAGAGGAAGGGGGGACTCTTAGCAGCATAAGATTGAGGCGTTGGAAGACACCTTTAGAACAGCTAATCATTATGATGACCAGGTGTCCACACTAAGTTCGGCATCAGTATGGTGACCTCCTGGAAGTGGGGGCCACCAGGTTGCCTAAGGAAGGGTGAACTGGCCCAGATCAGAAAGGGAGCAGTTCAGAACTCCCACACTGATTGGTAGTGGGACTGTGCCTGGACAGTATAGCAAGAACTTGGTTCTTAAAAGTAAAAAAAACAACAGTAGTTCATTCCTCTGTAGGGAGGGGCTGGCTCAGGGTTACACAGTGAAGGTAGAGGCAGAGGTGGGCCCACAGTAGTACCTCCCTTGTTGGATTGTGTGCAGACCCCTCTGGCCACACCCCACAGGAGATGGAGGAGGACATATGGACAGTGAGGAGGAGGAGGTGCCTCGGCCCAGCATTGCAGAGATCCTGGAGAGCCGAGAGGCCATGGTGAGCCTGACTCCCCCCGCTCCTCCTTTGCCACCTTCCTCTGTGGTCCCTCCCAGGTCCCCTTATGCTCTCGGTTTCTTCACCTTCTGATTTCTCTGGACACTAACCTCTTCCAGGAGCCAGTGCTCAGACACCATTTCACCTGTGACTGACAGTGCATTCTCTGAGGCCCCAAGGGAAGGGGCTGCACTCCACCTCCATGCCCATTTGCTCTGTGTATGCCGCAACAAGAATGTTCACCTCTTCAGGTTGCATTTTCCAACTCGGCTGGGGCCAGTGCCCAGGAGGAGCAGGAACAACTGTGTGTGCAGCCTCAGGAACGAAAGGTATGCTACCAGCACCTGGCTCACCCAGTGGCCTTGGTGCAGGAGCCAGAGGCAGTGGCCCCGGCCCCAGCCTCAGGGACTGAGAGTGAGTCTTTGTGTGGGGAGACCAATCAGGCACTGCAGGGAGCCATAGAGAAGCCGCAGGTGAGTCCTGGCATAGGCCAAGAAGGGTGGGGGCAGGGCAGGTCACTGCTGAGATGTGACCCCATTATTTTTACTTCAGAACAGCTTTATGACCCTCCGAAAGGAGAAGGTGGACCTGAAGGAGCGGGTGGAGAAACTAGAGCTTCTATTCATCAGGCTCTCTGAAGAGACAGACACAATGAGTGAGCAGGAGGCCAGGGCATGGCAGGGGGAGCTGCAGGGTGGTCAGAGGGTCCCCAGCGTTTGAGCCTGTGTGAGCCCTGTCCTTTCGCAGGAAAGGACATCAAATCATGTGAGCAGCAGAGGGCAGTCCCAAAAACCCGGCACCAGGAGAAGGGGGAAAAGCAGGAGATAAATGTAAGGCGAGCAGCATCTCTATGGGGGTGAGGGGGTTGGGAGTGGGCATGAGCATGGGTGCCGGCACCAGCGTGGCAGCTGAGCACCTCTCTCTCCAGCTGGAGCTGCAGAAGCCAGTGTTTCCAATTCTGGGTGACAACGAGGGCCATGCCAAATTCCTGGCCACAGCCAATTACCACATTGATGAGCCCACTCCAGGGGCCCCAGCCCCCCAGGAGCTTGGGACTGTCAATAAGCAGGGTGGTGAGTGGAGCCCTCAGGCAGAGTGGGCAGGCAGGAGCAGGGGAGACTCACCCTGAGCTGAGATCCCCACCTCCCTCTCTCCAAAGATCTTTGTGAGGTGAGCCTCGCAGATGGCATGGAGCCTGCAAGAGACGCCAGGGAGGGTTCTCCCCAGGACAACCCCACTGTAGGAAACATCCTGCAGCCGCTTTGTGAAATGAAGACCTTCCAGAAGCACCCAGGCTTGGGCTGCAACCCCTATGTGCCATTGTTTTACCGGGCTGCCAAGAACAGGGAGAACAGCATCACAGACATATTTTGTGCAATATTTACGGTAATGTGCCTATACATTATGAATGAATTATTTCAGTCATGCATAGCCTAACTCATAACTTTATGATGCTTGAGAAAGAATCAACAATTAAAACTTCATGAAGTTCTAATGTCTTTGTTCCAAAATAAGTCCCATGATTAGGATGTAGGGAGATATGTATGTGTGCTCCCTGGAGTGGGGATTTCTAATTACTAGACCATCTCCATTTTCAGCATTTGGCCTCTTCATGATACTTTTATAAATATGACATTAATAACAGAGCAATAATATGACTGTACAGATGGAATAACAGATTTCCCTGCATTCACTGAAAGAATGCAAATATTGGGTCCTGGTGACTTCAACTGATTCTTCCAAACTGTATGAATTTAACAATGTATCAGATAAACCCAGTTTCAGAATTATCAAGAAAAAAATGTTAGACCAAATAATGTGGCTGAACAGTAGCACAATTTCTAGCCTGAGGTTTAAAATGGACTTAAAAGTACTGTCTTTAAACTGAACTCAAAGAATGCAAAAGCGGCAAGTTCAGAAAAGAAAGGGCAAGAACAGAACTTTACGTCCATTTTGAAACCTCGGGCTAGAAATCGCACCACTCTTAATTAGCCACATTATTTGGTGGGGGCCAGGGACCTGCCTTCAGTCACAGACTAGCAGCTATAATGGCACCTGGGAGGGAGGGAAGAAAGCTGTGTGTCCTGCCTGGCCTGTGAGGTGTGTTGTGGGATGACTGTGTGTATGGGACTCTCCAGCTTTTACCCGAGATCATCACTGGATTATTACCAGCAGATAGAGGAGATGGGACCCTGACTAGCACCTGTTCTGCAGTGGATTTGGCTGGAGGGGACACATGCAAACATCCAGGTGTGCACACATGCATTGTGAGGCCCCATGGCCCGCATGCACATGCTAACACACATGCCCACAAACACCACAAACAATACACCTCCTTCCCTTCCACCTCCTGGTGCCCAGCACCCTCACTGGCCTGCACATGAAACACAGGTCTGGGGTGTGCAGCTACTCGGTACACTGAAGCACAAGCGTGGGCAGAGTCATGACACAGAAGCACACCCGCACACAGAGGCATTTGAACCAGCTGACTGCCCACGCGTGCCTGGCATGCTCAGAGGACCACCCATGCTGCTCATGGAGACAGGACTTGCTCGCTAATGTCCAGCTGTCATTTCTCCACCTACAAGCCTTCCATGGCTCCCTACTACCTACAGGATTGAGCCCCAACAAGTCAAACTCTGGACTTTGAAGGTTCACCCTAGGCCTCACCCTCCCCACAGAGCTCTTCCTCATTCTGTCTCTGTTCCCTGCTTTGGCCAGTGGCTGTCCTCCATGCGGCCCACACTACACCTCTGCCCACACTGCAGCTCTTTATCCAGATACCCTCCAATTCTTTGCCATGTAAGCCTATCTCAGTCATGCCCCAGACCGCAGAGAAGTCAGGCTGCCTTGAAGAAACTCTCCCAGACTGCTCTTTTCCCCAAGGCAGGGCCATGATTTGCGAAACATTTCATGTGTGTTACCAAGACTGGAGCCGGGGCAGGCATCAAACCTTACATCCCATATGTCACACCTCACCATAGACCTGGGCACCAACTCTGAAGAGTCTGAACTCACATCGGCAGTTAGCAAAGTGCTCATATGGCCACATCTACTGTTAACACAGCATCCCTATGGCCACTGTCTTCCTTGATCTTCATAACCACCCTGGGAGAAAGGCAGAACATCATCATTTGATAGAAGAGATGCTGAGGCTGTGGAAGGGAAAGGGATTTGCTTAAAGGCCCAGCGTGAGGCAGCATCTCTGGACTCCCAGTCCAGTGCTCTTGCCCAATACCATGCTGCTTGCCTCTACCCATCTACGTTGGACATCTGCACATCCTAGGGCAAGCCCCAATCCCCCCTTGTTTTGGTTATATGGGCGCTGGACCCACAGCCCCACCCTCCAGCCATTTGGAAACAAAAACAGATGCCATTGTTCTTCCATAGAGATTGTGGCCGGTGGAAACAGGGCACACTGGGCACATTCAAACGGGGCAAACAGGCCCTCCTTGAAAGAGGGCCATGGGTCAACAGGGCCAAGCCAAAAGGTGCAGTAGAACGCTTTTCCTTAGAAATCTTTGGGAGTGGAGAAGGCTTCAGCCACTCCCATCTCTGCCCCTGCAGCCACCCCTAGCACATCGGTGTAGACCAGGTAGGGAGGGGCAGGGGCGGTGAGGTGGAGGGAAAAAATCAGATTGCCTACGGCCCCCAGGCTCCTTCCCCAGCTGCTTCTGTTCTAGCCCGGGGCTGGGGGCCATTCTTACACTCTCACACTCATGTGTGCACACACACACATCACACACCTTGTTGGTCACACAGTCACAGCCTGCCCTCTACTCCTGTGGGCCAGTGGCAGAAATCCACTGGGATGGCTCAAAAGAGTCAGGACTTGGAAATGCAGACATCAGGGTAGCTGAAACAAATCCACACACCCAGAGCAGACTGGGGTTCAGACTCTTAGGCCTGAGGAAGACTCCCTGAGGACAGAATGGAGGATGGAGGACAGCAAGAAGAAAGGAGGAGGAATGCAGCCAGCGCTCCAATGACAGGTCCTGCCAGCCTTGTGACTTCATTTCTAAGCCTGTTTCTTTTTCTGCAAAATAGCAGGGAAATCCAACAGGGATGTTTTAAGACAGATTCCAAACTAGCCTTCAGGTTGAATCCAACAATAAAGACATGTTACATTTGGTCCATAGTGTTTAAAAAAATTTTAATAATACATTTAAAAGTCAGATTAATCAAAATGAAAAGACAGCATGAAACCAACATGGCAGCTCCCCTCCAAGTCAAAAGATCCATCAACTCTGGGCCCATGCTTTTTCTTGGCAACAATCAGCTAGTGACCACTTCTTTCAGAGAGGCATATACTCTGTAGTTCAGCAGCCATTACCTTTCCTTCCTCCTCCTCCTCTGCTCATTTATGTTATCTCAGGCCCCTGCAGGGTTTGAGTTTGCAACCCATATTAAAGATAAATGGTTGTGCTCAGTGAAAATGCTTATTAAGGCAGCTATTATCATTGGCTCACTAGTTAAGTTTGGTGCTGAGCCTGGAGTCCTAGTACTTTATCATGCTCCTCCACTTTCCCCTTCACCAGCACTGGTTTGTGTACTACAGTGAAAGAAAAGCCCATGGAACGCCTATGGCCTAACCCAAAGTGCCAGTGTTCCCACCATCATTCACCACAGGCATCAGCTCTCCAACCCCCCAAAGTTCTGCACAGGCTGGCACAACCTCCCTCCCGCTCGCGGGAGCCTAGGCCAGGGAGTTGTTTATAAGACAAGCCGTTCGAAGGGGGGAAGCAAAGTATTTTTATACTACAAAGGTTGACTTACACACAGGGTAGTCAACTTCCAAATCCTATTTCTATAAACTGAGCAGGCGCTACCAGGCCACCCAGAGTTCAAATCGCCATGACAAAAAATTTACAAAGCCAAACTCTACAGCAACTTAGTCTGGGAATATAGCTCAGCTCCAAGCCAGTTCAACGGGGACAAGTAAAAAATCCGTGATGAGTCCCAAAAACACGGTCCCCAGGGTTTTCCAACATCCCCCTGAGCTCCACAAGTTTTTCTAACTGTGCAAAAAAACAATCAGGAAAACAATCACCAATTTGAGGTTTCCAAGGTTAGGTTCTGTTTGAATTTTTTATTTTTTAACCCACGTGGGTACCTAGACTGAAAGGGAACACGAGCCTCAGGGTGCAAACTGTCCTCAGCAGACACTCTTCCCGCTGGCAAGGGACAGCCCCGTCACCTGAGGGGCAGCCAAGAGGCGGGCGGTGCACCTGTGCCTTCCACAATAGGAACCCCACCCACTTTCCCCTCGTCCCCATCAACCACGCAGCCCAGTGGTTGACTCAGGTGCCAGGAGACAGTGCAGGGAGGCAGGGCGGTAGCCAGGGAGACCAAGGGAAGCAGTTGCCAGAGAAATAGGGCGTCAGTCAGGGCCGGGCAGCAGGCGCGGGGCGGGGGAGGAGGGACGCCGCCTCCTCCCGGGCCAGCCTGGCCCGAGGCAATCCGGCTTCTAAGGGCGGATTCCGCTCCCGACTCTTCCCCACGGGAGGAACCCTAGCTGACAGCACGGTGCAAGGGGCCAAGCCTGCAGGGAGCAAAGTGCCACCGAGAAATCAAGCGCGCGCCCACGAAGGCGCCCGAAAGCCCAGGAGCCCGCCTGGCTTTTCTCGGTCGGGTCCCGGGGCCAGCGGGGCCGCTCACGGGGCCTCTGGCCTCCCGGGGCCCCCTAGGAATGAGGCAGCAAAGCCTCGGTCGACTCGACCGCACAGGAACCCACGAGAGAAGCAGCAGCCCCGGGGAATGACGCCGGCTGGGACACCCCAAGGTGAGAGCCCCTTTGTGGGTGAGTCCCCACAACTCCCGGGTGACTCCAGGCGGGCACAGGCCCGCCCAACCAGTTCGTCAAGGGAAGCGGCCAGTCCAGCGCCCCAGCCGCTGCTCCACCAAACCTGAGGCCGGACCTGAGTCTGGAGACCTGGCCTCCTCCGGCACTGAGAAGAATGACCAGAACGCCGAGACCACATGCACCCGCTCGCCAGGCCGCAGGGTCTGCACAGCACAGCCCGACTCGGGCTCCGACCTCTCCCCGTGTGCGCCACCTCCACGGCCTGCACGCCTACCCCTCTCCCACCCACGACCCCAGAGCCCACCTCAAAGCCGACAGCCCCTTGGGTCTCGCGGACGCGAAGCCCCGCCAGTTTTCCGCCCTCGCGCCCCACTACTCCACCAGCCTCGCCTCAGGACTCCCGCGCCAAGCGAAGGTGTGAAGCCACGTGACCTTCCCGGGCTTGGGAAGCCGCACGAGGGGCTTGATCCCTCCGCCTTAAAGGGGCCGAGGCCGCCGCCGTCGTGGGGCTCTCCACACAGCGCGGGGTCTATGGCGTCAGCAGCCCCGCCCCGTCCCGCCCCGCCCGGCTTCCTCCTCACTCCGCAGCGGGTGCGAAAGAGACCCATAGTGGGGCGTGAGCTTCCAGCGCTAGCGGCTTCGGGTGTGACGGCAGGGTGAGAAAGAAGTGTTCTGGGCCCCAGGGCTCCTTTCTGTCGTCACCTCCCGTCTGGACAGACGCTCGTGGGCGCCCGGAGGCCGTAGTGCGGCTCGGAGGCCCCACCGGCCACCCCGGGCAAGGCTGCGGCGCCTTGAAGCCCAAAGGCCCTGAGTCACGAGGAGGCTCCCTGCCCCCCTCACCCTCCACCAGTCCACGAGGCCCACCAGTACGTGACTGGGCCCCGCCCGGGAGTCCCACACGGGCTAAGGAATGAGGGTACTGTGGCGCCATAGGCACGGACTCTTAGCTATTCTCGCCCGGCCACGCCACGCCCAGGCGAGCAGTGGGTGGCTCTTGATGTAGGGCTGTAA